TGCTGTGTGGTGGTGGTGGTGGTGGTGGTGGTGGTGGTGGTAGGTACTGTGTGGTGGTGGTGGTGGTGGTGGTGGTGTTAGGCACTGTGTGTGGTGGTGGTGGTGGTGGTGGTGGTAGGTACTGTGTGGTGGTGGTGGTGGTGGTGTTAGGTACTGTGTGTGGTGGTGGTGGTGGTGGTGGTGGTGGTGGTGGTGTAGGGTACTGTGTGGTGGTGGTGGTGGTGTTAGGTACTGTGGTGGTGGTGGTGGTGGTGGTGGTGGTAGGTACTGTGTGGTGGTGGTGGTAGTGGGTACTGTGGTGGTGGTGGTGGTGTTAGGTACTGTGTGGTGGTGGTGGTGGTGGTGGTGGTGGTGGTAGGTACTGTGTGGTGGTAATGGTGGTGACTGTGTGGTGGTGGTGGTGGGTACTGTGTGGTGGTGGTGGTGGTAGCTGTGTGGTGGTGGTGGTGGTGGTGGTGGTGGTGGTGGTGGTGGTGGTGTGAGGTACTGTGTGGTGGTGGTGGTGGTGGTGGTGGTAGGTACTGTGTGGTGGTGGTGGTGGTGGTGGTGTTAGGTGCTGTGGTGGTGGTGGTGGTGGTAGGTACTGTGTGGTGGTATGGTGTACTGTGTGTTGGTGGTGGTGGTGGTGGTGGTGGTGGTGGTGGTAGGTACTGGTGGTGGTGGTGGTGGTGGAGGTACTGTGTGTGGTGGTAGGTACTGTGTGGTGGTGGTGGTGGTGGTGTTAGGTACTGTGTGGTGGTGGTGGTGGTGGTACTGTGGTGGTGGTGGTGGTGGTAGGTGTGTGGTGGTGGTGGTGGTGTTAGGTACTGTGTGGTGGTGGTGGTGGTGGTGGTGGTAGGTACTGTGTGGTGGTGGTGGTGGTGGTGGGTACTGTGGTGGTGGTGGTGGTGGTGGTGTTAGGTACTGTGTGGTGGTGGTGGTGGTAGGTACTGTGGTGGTGGTGGTGGTAGGTACTGTGTTGTGGTGGTGGTGGTGGTGGTAGGTACTGTGTGGTTGGTAGGTACTGTGTGGTGGTGGTGGTGGTGGTGGTAGGTACTGTGTGGTGGTAATGGTAGGTACTGGTTGTGGTGGTGGTGGTAGGTACTGTGTGGTGGTGGTGGTGGTAGGCACTGTGGTGGGTGGTGGTGGTGGTGGGTGGTAGGTACTGTGGTGGTGGTGGTGGTGGTGGTGAGGTACTGTGGTGGTGGTGGTGGTGGTGGTAGGTACTGTGTGGTGGTAATGGTAGGTACTGTGTGGTGGTGGTGGTGGTAGGTACTGTGTGGTGGTGGTGGTGGTAGGTACTGTGTGGTGGTGGTGGTGGTGGTGGTAGGTACTGTGTGGTGGTAGGTACTGTGTGGTGGTGGTGGTGGTGGTGGTGGTACGTGCGGTAGTAGGTACTGTGTGGTGGTGGTGGTGGTGGTGGTGGTACTGTGTGGTGGTAATGGTAGGTACTGTGTGGTGGTGGTGGTGGTGGGTGTACTGTGTGGTGGTGGTGGTGGTAGGTACTGTGTGGTGGTGGTGGTGGTGGTGGTAGGTGCTGTGGTGGTAGGTACTGTGTGGTGGTGGTGGTGGTGGTGGTAGGTACTGTGTGGTGGTGGTGGTGGTGGTGGTAGGTGACTGTGTGGTGGTGGTGGTGGTAGGTACTGTGTGGTGGTGGTGGTGGTGGTGGTAGGTACTGTGTGGTGGTAGGTACTGTGTGGTGGTGGTGGTGGTGGTGGTAGGTACTGTGCGGTAGTAGGTACTGTGTGGTGGTGGTGGTCAGTAACTTGTAATGGTAGATATAGTTATAGTTACGGTGATTCAACAATTAACTTAACCTTTTGAATATGATGGCATTGTATTCAAGAAGTTAAGTCATCATAGTCAAGGAGTTAAGTCGTCGTAGTCAGTCAGTTAAATCATCGTCTTTTAAGGGTAAGTCATTGCACTTAAGGGGTTAAGTTATCGTATTTAAGGGGTTAATTAATTGTATTTAAGGGGTTAAGTCATCGTATTTAAGGAGTTAAATCATCGTATTTAAAGGGTTAAGTCATGGTAGTGAAGGGGTTAAGAGTGTCTCTTAAGTCAGGTCCTACAGTAAAGGGAGGGGAAGAGCCAGGACCCCGGGCACGAGACGACACATATACAAATATTTAGTTCTCGACCTCTTAACCTACACAGTTCTCGTTCATACCGCCCACCCACCACCTCCTCCTCCTTCGCAAACCCACAAAGTGACACTTCTGGCCGCATTCCCCCGCATTACTACTGCAGTCCGGACGCATTTCAACCACCTCCTGCCACCCAGTCGCTTACACGAGACAACTTTTTATCAAGCTCCTACCTAAATCCGGGTAAAGAAAACCATCCATCAGCTGAGGCTCTGAGAACAATCGCGTGCGAGGAGGACCCGAGGTGGAAAGCACACCGTTTATTTTAAGAATAAAACTTTATTGTTATTACGAGGATTTCAGGCGGTGTGTGGACGGAGGCTTTATGAGAGGTGTGGGGTAAGGCGAGGAGGGCTCTGCCTCGCTATATTGCCTTGCCTGGATTCTCACACCGCCGCTAATATTAAACCCTCGCCATTTTCACTCTCCCCTCACCTCCCCTCCCCTCCCTGGCAACACTTTCTCTTCCGGACGTCAAAATTACACCCCTGTCAATGTTTTTTTCTTACATCTGAGCGTCAGCTGTGTGTTTGCTTACATTGCCAGGGTGGATATGACGGCGTTCGTGACACAAAACCTCCCATAGCATGAATGAATAATGCAGTGTTTAGCAAAACTGATGCTCCAGATACGTGCGTCACACACACACACACACACACACACACACACACACACACACACTAAAAATATTTCTAAAGGTTTATAAAAGAATGACATTTAGCAACGCACATGATGAATGGTGGGTATAATTCTTAATATAACTGACCCTCTCCACTTACACAAAAATAGTCTTCCAAAGAAATAAAAGACCAAAAGTTTGTACACCTACTCTTTTAACTGTACCAGAGACCGTAATTTCACAAGAACTAAACACTATGCTGATAGAAAATAATGTAATCATTGTAATTTATTTTATATCTTCATATAGTCTAAGAGAGGGAAATGCAGAGAAGAGAGTGACAAAATGGATGTTTCTCCTTGTATGTCTAAGTCAATTATCTTCCTTTACTATCATCATCTTCTTGGCGTGTAATGGTTTTCTTGTCTATAAAAGCATCGTTTAAGCCTTAAACTTTTAGGTGAAATTGATACAGACTGAACTATAGCCACGATATAACAAATTGGATAATTTAAGAAAATACTTTGTTGGTTAGTTTATGAATATAAATATAAATATAAATAAATATATATACTGTATATATATATATATATATATATATATATATATATATATATATATATATATATATATATATAGTCAGTCACTTCCAGATGCTTCTGGTGTTATTGTACAGGGTACCAAATGACAGCGCTAGGATCCCGCTTCCTCTATCAGAATAAGCAATTGAAATTGAATATATATATATATATATATATATATATATATATATATATATATATATATATATATATATATATATATATATACAGTATATATATATATATATATTTTTTTTTTCTTCAAGTAAGGGCATGATGAGCAGTGTAGAATATTCCCGGTGAACGAGGAGCTTGGGTAAATATTATATCAATCATTTCACAATAAATATATCGTTTCATCTCCCCAGTCCTTGCCTATATACCACAATGGAATACATTATTACCAAATAGTTATATAAATCTTCACACAAACTTCCTAAAGTCTTATATTCCTAAACACAGTTTATAATTTCTTTACCTTTAAAAACAAATATTCTCATCCATAACCCACCGAGTCAAGTCTTCCCACAAATCAAGTCAAATAGAAAACGTAAAACAACTGGAGATAAAAAAGAGTATAGAGAGATTGTTATATTGTGTTCTGATGGAATTACAAGTAAAGAGCCTTGTAGATATACGTAAATAATGGATTAATATGTGTATGATGTTTGTTGCTGTACATTGCATGGTGTGTGAATTAGAAGTTATATTTGTTTTCTATGTTTTAAGCTTTAAAAATTGATGCAAGATGTAAGTGAAGTCTATAAAAGTCATTGCAACGTTGAGTATTGCAAGATGCATAAAATCAATATAGGGTGTTTTTCAACTATCTTTCAAAACTAGAAGACATACTTAGGAATTCGTCCATTATCCTGGTCCGTAGTCAAAGACGTCACGCACCGCACACCTGTAGCAAACACCACAATACTACGGACCAGGAAATAGGACGCCATCACCAGTGAACCTGGACTGAAATCGAATATTAGTTAAGGTTGTGAGAGCCACTGATGATGCACCTGTGGCAGTCTGTTGTCATGTCAAGAAAAAGTGTTAGAGTTGGACTTTTGATGGTATACTGTCACTATACGCTTCTAGATCTATTTGTTTTATTTACAGTAAGTATTTTAGAAAGATAATTTAGGTTCATTCTGTACAGTATATGTGATAATGTTAAATTTCACAAATTTAAAATCCAATGTGATATTGTTATACTAATCAGGTTAAAAGTTTCTTTACAATAATGTTTGTTTTTTTTGTATTATATCACATCTGTAAAACTCGGTGAAAGATATTTGAAAATGCTATAAGTTGCAAGCTGTGAATATCGTTGCGTCAGATTCGTTTTATGTTGCAGGATTTAAAACTTATTTCAAGGTGTCAGTCGTTGAGTGCTGGAAATTGTTTAAAAAATACGTCAAAATATTTTATTGTTGATCTTTTTTTTTTTTTTGTAATCCATAAAATGTAATGAAATATTTAAGTTATTACTTGTTACATGTTATGAAAATAGTGCAAGACGTATGTTGTGTGTTGTAGAGTGTAACAGATTAGTACAGTGCTGAAAAATACTGTTAGTGTGTAGGATGTTACAGGTTATGAAAACTATGCATATGTGTGTTATATATGCTACAGGCTGTAAATCTCTAACATGTGTGTCGTCGTGTATTACAGGCTGAGCCCGAGTGAACTGCTGTGCGTGGATCAGGTGCAGGTCGTTGTGGGGATCGTTGTCGTTACAGTCTCCACCGTCCTGCTCGTCGCTCTCTCCGTCCTCCTCTGCAGGTCTCTTTTTTTTTTTTGTGTGTGTGTGAGACAAACATTTTCCCTCCCAACTCCTGAGAGTGTTCACACGAGCAAGACTCCTGGTAAAAAATAATCACACTCGTGACCCTCCAAACTTTTGCTCCACCCAAGCCTTCCTTCCTTCCCTTCTCCTCCACTGCTCTTTCCTCCCTTCCTCCCTCTTCCACTCCCCTTCTCTCCCTTCTTCCCTCCTCGACACCACCTCCTCCCCTACCCCACAAACATCTCTCCATTTATAACTTCTGAAGCAAAATATTATCCACTGCTCTCCTTTTCCACAGTTATCCAAGAATTCCTTCTTCCTTATACACTCTAGAAGAGATGGTATTTTTTTTACTCCTACAATTGCTCCCTCAAGGTTATGTTTGCCAAAGCTGCTCACTTGGATTTCACTTGAACTAAACTCACTTACCCCGACTTCCCTTAGCTTGATGTCTACTACACTCATTTATTAATCAAACAATGTTAATCTTTTAATTCTAAAAGAGAGTGTGAGAACGAGAGATAGAAATGTAATTAGAAAGAGAAAGAGAGTGAGAGAAAGAAATAGAGAATGTTTACGGGAGGGAGAGAAAGAAAGAGAGAATGTTTACGGGAGGGAGAGAAAGAAAGAGAGAATGTTTACGGGTCTCCTTGATAAAAAACTACGTCCAACATTCCGGTAAACGAATTTCAAAGTTGGTAAGATTTTAGTTTAAGCGAGTTGAGTTATAATTGAATTTTAACTTTTGCCTGACGTGCCGCTTGCATGTCTTGTTATTACGAAGCGCTAACCCAGCTCCTCTTCCCCTCCCCCCTCCTTCTCCTTGACTTAGGTACCGCCGGAGACACCAGAGGGACAAGCTGGGACGTGGTTGGCCCCCGGGTCCTCTAGCACCTTGGCCTCCCGACGACCACTCCGCCCCAACGAGACACATTATGGCCGATGAATACGTGTACCACACTTACTCCTCTGTCAGGAAAATTCCCGTCACGAAAGTATGAAGTTTACACCTGCTTCAGGAAGATCCCTGTTCCTAAAGTGAGAAGATTACTCCACCAATCATGCGTCAGGATGATCTCCATCGTAACAAACTGAAATACCTGTTACCACTTTAAACCTTGGTATCAAGAAACAAGCGCTCGCTGATGAAACCTGAGGCGCCTATATTCACGATACTAATTTGTATAACATATTTACATCACCGAAGTCTGAGGTCCACGTCATCTCGCGCCAACAGGAAAATCCTGTTGAATCGCCACGTTTGTCCCGCGTCTGGGAGCCCCGTTTTACCCAGGCAACGTATCTAATAATTTATGAAAAATAATAGATATCCTTTCTAAAATTACTACAAGTACACCCAAGGTTGGTGAACAATATATAAACCAAGGGAAAGTGACCGACGAAAGTTTAGCTAATCAAGACTCGATTTCGCTTACTGTGTGTGTGTGTAGCGCATCGGTGTAGTGTCATCGTCTCCAATATGTGTCATTTTGGGCCGTATGTTACTAGTGTAAGCCAACGAATGCTTCCAAAAGTACCATAAAACCACCAGAGAAGCTGTGAATGCATAGCAAGAATCAAAAATGTCAGAAATCTCAGTGTTGAAGGAAATGTGAACAAGTAGCATTTAAATATTTTGTAGATTCTTGAATATATATCATATAAGGACTTTTATCGTTTGAATAAACATACATATATATACATACATACATATATACAGCATATAACATATTTGTGTTCGTCATTAACTAGTAAGAGTTACTATAGACCGAGAGGAACCGAGTGATGTGGACTGTACCTACACTGACAGCAAACGTGTATTTAATGTTGGTTGAGAATGACAAAATATATCAGTAACATGAGGCTAAAGTAATATTCTGTAAACTTACATGTCCATGTTGCTGCTAAACTTTGTCCTGGAGTGTCTTTTGGATATAGTGCGACCGACGGTGATCAGCGTGCAGTACCACACACAGCAGGGGGCTGTCAGTCAAGTGTCCACGTCAACAACAACACTTAGGTCCAGTGGAGCTTACGAAAGAAAGAATAAGTATTGGGGAGGAGTGAGAAGCCTTCCCAGTACATAAGATGATACGGACAATACCGTGTCTTGTGTGTACAGTACTCGGGTGTAACTATCGTCTTGTAGTTAATTAAAGAAGACAACTGTTACTTTTTAATTCTGTTTATCACTAAGTGGAGAACATCCACATATCTTTGTACTGTTGGCAGGTTATCACTCTCACAGTCAGCAGGCTGTTGTCTACTGGAGTGTAAAATAATCTCAAGGCCTTTGTCGGAAAAACAGGGTCTGATTACGTGGACTTATACACTTAATTGGCAACGTTTTTGCCTCTATAAAAACACTCCTCGCTAGGAAGTATATAAACTGTGTATTGAAATGTGTCCCACCAAGCTGCTTCTGTACAAGTGAAAGATGTTTTGAGTATAGCTGTTGGTATTTCACTTTTTTTCATAAATTAAATAGTTGTATAATTATTACCTGCTCCAAGACTTCATGAAACAAAAAATTCCTCTTTTAAATCAAACAGCTTTAGAAAAATTAAAATTTTCAACATTTATTGAATAAAAAGTGTTTGTGATGCAAATTAAAATAAATGTTTAAACTAATTTTCTTGTTCTAATATTTTTTCTGTGATACTTAAGAAAATGCACAGACTATATTAAATTTATATGAAAAAAATCATTGTAATTTCTGCCCCTGCAAACAAATCAAATTATAATTTAAAAAAAAATTCTGAACAATTAAATCAGTTTATAAAACAAAAATAATGTCACTCCTTTAACACTTTACTAAAGACTTCTCGAAATATTTCCTGATATCGATAAACAGAAAATGCAGAGTTCACCTTATCTTGCTAGTACACACAGCCAAGTTGCCTTGACAGTTTAATCTCCTGTACTAAGGCATGCGCACCTAATATATATATATATATATATATATATATATATATATATATATATATATATATATATATATATATATATATATATATATATATATATATATATATATATATATTATCAGAGTGGGGTTTTCAATGTTCTTATCCGTAAAAATGGGATTCACGTAAGTAATCAGATATTCACTGCAATGTATTCTTGTTAATCAAGGTGTCAGAAGAGTGTCACTCAAGAGTGACCTTCCAGTACTTTTTCCTTATTGCAATAATTCACCTGATTGTGTCAAATACTTTAATTAAGTCCTTCAGCTCTCACCGGATAAAAAAGGTCACAGTAATGGAAATTCGGGTAACTCGAAATGCATTAGCTTCCCTGATAAACTTAGAAAAGAATTAAAGTCGATTTGGAGAAATTAAATCTCTATGTGCGTGATTCCTGTGCCCTTCTTCCTCTGAGGTATGACCCTCGACCAGCCATTTGACTTGTGAGACTGACCTTGTATCCACGGCAGAGTCCTTACTCCAGAGTACGCCAGTCAGTCAGTGTCACGACGACGCCTGCCGGGTCTCGTACACACGTTACTAATTCTAAGTCTTAATAAGCTTTTTTACTTTATCATCTTTCAAAGCGTTGCTCAATTTTCATCTTAGGTACAGTGCAGTAGTGACATTCCATTGGACTTCGGCTGCTAATGTTCTGTGACACAACGCTGCCGTGGTCACGCTGGCACGCGCGGAGGCTAACTTATAGACACAAGTCATTCTCTTTCTCTGGAATTTTTGCGTCTGTGAACCTTAGACCAGCATGTACAGTTGTTAATCTGATCTTCATCATCTTTCGCTGTATGTTAAGGCCCAGGCTGTGGCGTGTTTGTTGAGGCACACGGCTCGCTGCTCTCAGACTTACCTGGACCACACCAGCACTCACCGCCAGCTGCGCGTGTTGACTTACCATTACCCCCCCCCCCCCCACTCTCCACCTCCAACTTTCCACTCCACCCCCACCTCACCTCCCACTCCTGGCATCATAAATGTGATTACTCCATTCCCCCTTCCCCCTTCATACGTCTCCTCCATCCCCGTATCAACAGAATTCAGCAGTGCTGTTTAATCCATGTACACTTCATGACCCGCTTCCTGTGCATCGTCCCCGCGCTGCAGTAACTGTTCATATTGTCATAATTATACACACACACATATATATATATATATATATATATATATATATATATATATATATATATATATATATATATATATATATATATATATATATATATATATATATATATATATAACAAGATCGATGCTCATTCACACCAAGTTGTTAGCTGGCGTCGACTCCCGCAGAGGACTGTCAACACAGCTCTTGTTACCCTATCCCCCACATACAATACATACCCATCGCAGCGGCACTACAGCCAAGATTTTTGCAAGTTTTATTAATAGTTGATACTTCTAGTGAATTTAATATTTACCAATTTAAAACTCAGAAATACAACTCCGAGGCATTTGTGCCACTTATTAATTACAAAAAGGGTTCACTGTAGTTTTGGATTACATGATGCATAGTTCATAATATCCTCATCCTTTATATATTCAACTAAATGTACACCACACACACACACACACACATACACACACATACACACACACATACACATACAAATACACACACACATACACACATACACACACACACACACACACATACTCACATACACATACACATGTTCACCACAGATGGCAGACCATCAGCAATTTCGAAGCCTAGTTATAGTGAGTGTCTCTTTGGAAAGAAATTAATTTTTAGAAACCGAAGATTGTATTACTGTATCGCCCTTATTATAGGCCTCGTTGTGGACTTGAGAATCTTTCACTGTGGACCGTTACGGGGAGTTACAAAATCTAGATAGAATTTTTGTTCTTGGGAAGGGACTAACCCTGTTCACTTGTATTAATACACATTTATCACTTTTCCTTTACCACTTCTGTTTGGTTTGCATAGAAGTTTTATCTGATGCGCTGTAAAACGAAGGTTTCCCATAAATACTCTATCGCCTGAGTAATTTTGTAAGATAATTCATAATAAAAACTTTAATATTTACCTTTCGTGTTGTTTAAGTGTTCTTGACAGTGGATTCGCATAGTGCAGCGTTGATTTAGTTGTAGAAACGATTGAAAATTGAGTTGTGTATTCACAATCTTTCGGTTACAGGATGATCATGTAAATGTTCTCATGTACCATGGCGGGTGAAGGCACACCGATCCTCCTGTAGCATTATAGTGACACTTAGATCACCTCATCTCTGCCTTTAACATAAGACCAATCATAGGGAGTTACTCGAAAATAAGAAACATCATAATTCAGAACCAAACGACGAGAATGGACCTTAACGGTGGTCTTAACCTTTCATTAACTTTTGAAGTTTAATGTCTGCAGCTTTTCAGGGTGTGCACGAGGAGTTGCCTGAAGCTCTGAGTCCTTGGTAGTTAAATCAGCATATGACACACAGGTATACAAACGCATTTCATGAGAAAAAACCGGACCAATGTTTGTCAAAGCATTTCAAAGTCGATCTTCACAGCCGGTGTGTGCATTACTTCCTAAACTCCAGCACTTCCCTGAGGACGGGGGCGAAGATATAAATTTACACTGACAGCATTGCTCCACAATTTTCAGATCGTAATTCGTCGCCGAGGCATAAGTGTCAGCCACAGGCACCAAAGTGTATACACGGAGGGCGTGGTTACCGGGAAACCAGACGGAAGTTTATTTTTCCAAACCCGTTCAGTTTCAGCTGTGTCTTCTTTACTATCTCGGAATATTTAAGCTCATTTGCATGCAGCGTGTAAATCATATACTCATGAATACTTTTAAGGCTGAATATATCTTACACCCGTGCTTAATGACGGGTACAGGGTCGACACGGCTTTATTTATCGCTATTGAAGTCCATTATATCACAGACATGGCTGAAGGAGGAACAGAAGAGACTCATAGTAGTAAACTTCACACTGTCTCTTCCTTAAATGAAGTTGTTTGCAGCGTCAGGATGATCACAAGTCGACACAAAATGATTACGCCATTATTTCAACTCCTTAAGAAGATGCATAATGGGAAATATAACACCGAACACTTTCAAAATAGCTAACGTTTCAAAATATGAGTTTAGTCATAATTCCATAATATACGAGTCTGAGCAAGAGGGTCTTTCGAGCAAGGAGACACTTGTTGCTATATCACGAGAGGAACAACTCAGCTACGAACGTTGCCTGATGAGCCTTTCTTGGCCGCAAGAGAGAGAGAAATATATGTACCTTGAATTACGTTCGTTCTCACTATGCGAAACCCGGTCGATGATTCAATCCAAAAAATTTTGTAATTACTTATTGTTATCAATCATTATCCATGGGAAGCTACGAAACAATATTATTATATAAGATAAGCCGCTTTATGTTATTATACGACTGGACAGAGAAGCTTAGGTGCGGTAGCCCAGGAAGCTGATGCTGGTGGCAGCGTTGCTCACACCACTGATGGTAAACATTCCACACTTTACTACACCAAATACCTTGTGTTTTTCTGTACCAATTAACTGTATAACTACATATGTTAACATCTATACCACAACACTCAAAACACCTGTGTAGGCACATAACACTCACTCACACTAATTGCTTGCAGCACCACTATATCAAAGCGCCTGTACATTCACATAAGAATACACACACACACACACACACACACACACACACACACACACACATACACACACACACCTGTACTGTTTTGTAGTTTAAAACTCATCCACACCCATACATCCATCTCTGTACATATAGGCCCCTTAGAGAGTCCACTTTTTTCTTCTTAATCTCCAATGTTGTATTAGTGATCTTAATATAGCGTTTAATCTCTGAATATTGCGGATCTATTATGCTTCCAGAAGGCCTCCTGGTGTCTCTCTTTCCTCTTCACCTTCCCATAAGCGCACGGAAAGAGTAATGACCTGGATGTTATCGGATTGTGAAAATATTTTGTATTTTTGTAAAGAAATTGTGTAAATAAATATTTCATCTTTGGTGTTGATTTGTTTTGAACCCTTCCTTCCTTCCTTCCTTCCTCTTCTGGTTCTCTTTATATTTCTCCTCTTCATCCTCCTCCTCCTCTTCTTTCTTATTTTTCCTCGTTTTACACCTCCTGTTCCTCTTTCTTGTTCTCCCTCTTCTTTTCCTCACCCTCATATTTTTCTTATTCTACCTCTTCCTCCTCCTCCTCCTCTTCAGCGTTCTCCTTCTTCCTTCTCTTCTTCCTCGTTCTCTTTCTTCTCCTTCTTCCTCATACTACTCTTCCTCGTTCTACTTCTTCCTCCTCCTCTACCTCGTTCCCCCTTGTCTTCCTCCGATTCCTCGTTCTCCTTCTCCCTCTTCCTTCTCCTCTTCTTCGTTCGCCTTCTCCCTCTTCCTCCTCCATACACTGAAAAGGAAAAAACATAGACAAAGGAGGAGTTAAATTGTGAATTTAATTTAACAAATTTATTGACAAAGCTTGTAGTACAGTTTGCCTATTCTGAGTAATTCAGTCAGGTCTTGACACTGAGGGTGGTATCACTTCTCACTGCCACGCAGGACAGAGGTTCGTACACAAAGAAATACACCATATTCATTTGCAGTATATATAGGTCAGTGGTTCACATACAGTGGACGTCATATTCTAATTGAAGACTAATCAGTGTGGGCTAGCAAATTTTGGATAAACAACAAGAATGTCCTCAAGCACTCCTGATTTAATGTAGTAATTACAAAGTTCATGATGCACTAAGCCAGGTGGCCTGAAGTCTTTGAAAGAGCCACATTCAATAATATAGTGTTCAAGTGTATGCTTTGAAGGTTTATCACAAAGTTTACATGCTGAGTGCTCCGGTATGGGTACAGCGTTACTAACTTGCCAGATGTGTCTGTATCCTAGCCTAATTCTGGCCACAACTATATCACATTGTCTAGTTCTGTCCTTCTGCTGCCCATACCGGTACCTC